TGGGGTGGGCTGGGAAACACTGGGAATCTGATTTGGAACGAAGCTCACAAGTTGCTGGTTTTCCTGGGAATGACGAAGGAGGAAGTGAACATTTAAAAAGCAACAGTCCTAAGCTTCTCCCATCAACTTTTATACAGACTTTCCAAAGGCCTCCACGCCTGACTTGACCTGCAGTTCCCTTCTCATGCCTGCATTGCTCCTGAAGCAGCAACTAACCTGCTGCACCCACCTAGGGTGACCTCCCCCTGCACCTAGGCTGGCACTTTCAAAATTGAATTCTGAGCATGGTGACAAAAGTCTTTCGTGTTTTAAAGTGGTGACTTTGACCTGTACCAAATGTGAGTTTTTAAGTGAGAGACTAAAATAATCTGATTTGAAACGCAGAACGTTCCCTGTGTGTTATCCATGGTATGGAAATGGATTTGGGTGGGTGAAGCTGGGGGCTGTTAGAGCAATCGGGCAAGAGATGGTGACAGCTGAACTAAGGTGATGCCAGGGGAGTGGAGAGGAAAGGCGAGTGTAAGAGATCGAGAGTCTCTGTGAATTAGTTGCAGCGGACCGTGTTGCAGCTGACCGTGTTGCAGGACCAGTTAACGGTGCCTACAGAATTTCAAGGTGAGTGGAAGGTCCAACTTTTATAGTAAGAAAGGCAAGTTTTGAGAGAAATATATTGACTTGAATTATAAACAAGGTAAGTTAAAAGTCCCCTGTAAAATGCAGGTGGATGTGTCCACCAGAAAGCAGGACACATGGTGGTTGAAATTGGCAATAAAGGGTGTTTCTCTGGATGGACTTCCAGAGTGTGAAGAAAAGAAGGCTGTGGAAACAGACAGGAACAGTAGTTTTCAGGGGCAGGCAGATGAAAATGAACAGGAGAGGGGACTGAAAAGTATAGGACAGAGGGGAAAGGTAAAAGAAACAAAAAGGAAAAGAAGAAAAACAAAAAGGAAAACAACTGGTGCTGTGAAAGCCAAACCCAGGGGCAACTCATTGCTTATTTTATAGCATGGTTGAAAGTCAATAGCATGTAATGTGGGTAAGAAAATGGGCTCAAATACACACTGCCTGCACCAAATATTTTTTTACTATTTATTAATTCTGAAATTTAGAGTAACTTATTTAACCTCTCTAATGTTGATTGAGAATGTTGAAATAGTTAACACAAAAAAAGCACATAGAATACTGTAAGTGTATAGTGTAAGCAGATAGCACTTAGTTCACATAACTTAGTATTATAAAAGATGATATATCCCCTTTTTAGAGGATGGGGTCCTTAATATAAATATCTATATTTCTGTCATTGCTATAGTCCCAAAACACAATGAATGGAACATTGTTGGAACTTTGTAGGTATTTTAATGTAGAAACAGTTTTTGTTTAGCTCCAGCATTTAACCAAAGAAAGAAAAAGAGGAGAGGAGTGTAGGAATCTAAGATATACAAAGACCTAATGCTAATGTTTTGTGTTGTTAATATTTTAGAATGGGCATTTTGAGCTTAAAGTTGAAAATATAGTACTTATGTCTCATTATCTAATATCTTTTTTATGAAACTTTGATCTATGGAACCAATTATGTCTTGGTGCACCCTCTTTTATAGAATCTCATGCCAAAAGTCCAGTCTAGTCCTTGTGGAGCAGACATCAGTCAGAACAGGAGAGGGGTGGGGGTGGGGTACAGAGAGACACTGGACGTTTACCTTTGAAAGGGGCTTATGAAAGATTGTGTTTCTGCTTAAAAGGAGTTTATTTGTAAGACGAGCAATTATATCAATTATATCTATGAATTAGATATAATTACGTATATTCGGTACAAAAATTTTATTTCCTCTTTCTAAGATCACCTTTTAATTTGTAAACAAAGCACATAGAAATAGGTTTACAAATGTAATATAAACACAAATATTGCATGCAATTGCAAAATACCAGCATGTTATGAAATTGGACATATTATATTTCTTCATCTGAATGATAATATTTCAACTGAAATGAGAAAGCGAATAACCTTAGAAGCCAGAATGTGAAGCAACAGTGTTTTACTGTTTTAGGTGAGGCTGAGCCTCCTGTAGTAGCTCCCCTGACTGAGGTGGGACGTGGTGGCATGTACAATGAACCATCAGGGATGACATCTGTCTATGGGAGTTTATTGCCAAAGTAAGATCCTCTCAGGTTAGTCTTTCAGGGCTCCTGGAAGAGAGGATAATTCTTACCAATGACATATTTGGAACACAATGCTCAAACCTTTCATATATGAAAAAATAAAATGACTTAAATTAATTCCCTCCAACTTTATGAAACAGACATCAGTTGAGATGAGTTACCTTAGGGGAAAGGAAATTGTACATTAAGCAACTACCATACGCTAGATACAATCTGAGCGCCACAGAATTGCATACAAGCAATCCTTTGTTTTCATGAGTATTATATAAATATTAATATTCTGAATTCATAGATGAAACTAAGCCACATTTTGAGCTTATACAGATACCCAAGATTTGTTTTTCACAGCCAGAAATGACAATGACCCAGGACTTGACCTTATTACCTGAACTTCTAGTTATTTTTACTGTAGAAGCATTAAAAAAATTAGTTAAATATTTGGGAGCAGTCAGTCTGCTTATGAATATGCATGCCTTATCTTTCAATGCCTTGGGTAGGGACATCTATTCATCTTGAGAATGAATGGTCCTAGTTGTGCTAATAGCAGGACTAATGATGTGTGGACAGAACACAATCAGAAACCATACTAGTAATAAAACCATAGTGTACTCCATCAAACAATTCTTCGATATGCAAAGTCAACAATGCACTCAGAGAATGAAAAATGGTGTTTCACAAGCAGACCGGTCTCTTTACAGGGAAGCAGGAGCACAGAAAAAAAAATGGACCAAGATGGAAATTTGTAGGATGTGCTAGGTAGGGAGTAAGAGGAAAGGAGAGCTGAGGCCAGTATCGAGTGTTGAAGGGTCTGTCTGGACTGTGGGGAAGGACAAGAAATCAGGCCTCTGGTCGTCTAGCAGCATGCGAGGGAAGGCAGGAACTGTAGACAACAGTAATATTAAGAACGAGCATGTTTAAAGAGGGTGAGGATCTGGGGAGAGAGGGAACCTAAGAGATCATGTCAGAGAAGGAATCAGGCTCTAAAATTTGTTTAAGACTTTGACAAGCATGTTGGGGAACAGAGTTTCAAAGCATCACCCTCTGAATAGGTGGCGCTAAAGTAAAGGGCAGAGTCTATGGAGTAGAAAGAGATACAGCCCGGTGCTCGGGGACTCATTTGTAGATCCAGTTGAGAAGAAGAACACAAACCAGACCATCATCGTAGGTGAATATCTGGGGGTAACCTCAGGTCTGTAGATGGTGGGTGTGGACGTAAGTGTGGTTTTCATTCAAAATACACCAAAACACAGACTGATATTTGTTTGAGACAGTGAAAAAGGATCAACATTGCCACTGTGTAACCACAGCATATCAGTTTTCAAACACCACAATGAATGGACGAAAGCACCAATACTAAATTCTGCCAGCTTGTTCACATGCTGCATTTATCATTCATGTAACATTGTCTGATCGCCCAAAATGTTTCAGTATTTTAGGCAGTATACTCAGTTCTAGAAAGATGGAAAAATCAGTCACAATTGCTGGCTATCCTCCAATATGTGTGTTTATCTGAGAGGGGGAAAGAAGAGGTAGACCATAAAAATAGTTTGTATGCCACAGAGGGTCACTATGTGTCAGTGTTTATGGCACCACACAGGAGAGAGGAACTAGTTTTGTAGCTGGGTGAAGAATAGAAATAGTCACTTAGTTTCACGTCCCTTGCCAGTCTTCAGGTGAGCTTGCCTTTCATGTAGTTATTTAAGTTTGATTGACTGCACACAACCAATGCCTCAGTCCCTGGCTCAGGTGACAGATTTGTAATGGTTCCACAGCCTATAAAATATCAAAGAAGAAAGCTATGATATTCTAATGAAAAAAATCACTTAAAGAAAACTATTTGTTAGCTTCTAAAGGCAAAATTTAAAAAATGTTTCTTAAATCTGTGTTCCAATTTATGACAAATCAGAGGACACTAACAGCACAGTGTGAGTTCTTTCCCCACGCAGCCGTGTACACAATGGACACTTGGTCCACACCCGTGCGTCTGCATACGGCTCAACTTCAGAATTATTTGGAGAGTTTGTTCCTTAAAGTGTAGATCCTCAGGCCTTATTGTAGATTTTCTGAATTAGGCGTCTGAGGGAAAAGCCTGAGGGTCTGCACTTACCAAAGCCTCAAGGGGAGACGCTGATGCTCCGTCTAAGAGAATGACCAGCATTCTAGGAGGCTCTTAAAACCCACGCTCTGAAGCGCCGTGACCATCCCTCTGGATTCCAACCATCTTTTAGCAGTCTTAGCCTCTGGTTTCCCCTTCTCCAGTTCTTCTGATACAAAGCTGTCAGATGAATCTTTCTAACTGGATCCTCTCATAATGCTGCGGGACTTCTCAGAGTTACTCAATGTTTCCTCTGATCCTCAGAGCTGTCAAACACTATGCACTTTCACCCTGTCTTGCTTTCGAGTTATTCCCACCCATCCATACTGACAGCCAAGTTCTGACACCTGACTCATGTAAGCAGGTGCCTCTTACTTTATGTTGAGAAAACATTTACCTGCTCACCTATATCTTTGTTCTTATGTGAAATTATACATTTTGTTTATTGATATTATAAACATTTGCTGTAGGAACAAATGATTTTTTTTTTTCCCATGGTGGCCTTTTGAACAGAAAATAGGCTTCCATGATAAGTATTTGAAAATATCTGAAGAGCTGAGATACAGGGATTTGGATATCCGAAAGCATTCAAAGGGAAAGTGATGGATTTGACTGACTTAGAATACTTCAGAGGACTTGGCCCCAATCAATCACTCTCTCTTATACCAGCACACTCTATGGCTATGCCCTTCCCCAAACCACTAGCTTTCAAGTTGTCTTTTATCCCAAGCAATTTGCATAGTCTTACCTAGATCTCTAAGATTTGAAGGGAAGAAAAAAAATCCGTCTTCTATCTTGAGTTCAGCTCTATAATTACAAGATTTGCACATAGGCTGAAAACTTCCACAAAGCATTTCTTTGCCCTTGGGTGAGTTGCGGATTCTCTGGAGCAATCTTCTCCTCTTTTGCATGCACAGGCTAAGGTGGCAGAGATGAAAGACAGCCTTGAGCTTTAGCTACAAGTCAGAGCAGAAGAGAGATGCTGGACAGCCTCAGAATTATAACTGATCCAGCCTGGCTCAGCAGCGATTGGAAGTAGGTCAGAGAATGGCACTGCTGGAGTCCGGAGTGTGCTGGGAGTGTCAGATCTTCTTTGATAGCCAAACAATCTCTTGCCTTGCTTTCCAAATACTTGCTTCTTTGTGCTCTTTCTGTATATTTTAATATTTATATGTATAGAGACATAGAGACAAAAATAGCTAAAATATTTTTGATATAGGAAAATGATGAGAGCTTGACTTACAATATAATAAAATATATCAAATGCATTTAAATCACAACAGTATTTATGACACCGAGGTCATCTTGCAAGAAGAGATAAACAGATCAATAGCTCAGAATGTGAAGCCCTGGAAAACAGCCTAGTGTACATAAAAGTTAATAACTGTTAAATGAACATATTAAATCAATGGTGAAGGTGTGAAGTATTTAATAAATTGTGTTGGAGAAATTGTCTATCAGGAAAATTTGGCTAATTTGACACCAAGATAAAAACTTGTTAGAACAAAAGTCAAAATGGATTTTTTTAAAAGTAGCCATAAAACAATTAAAAGAAAACTGAAATTAATATTTATTTGATTTTTCAGATGGGGCAACACATTCAAATAATAAAACTATAAAAGAAATGGCAAAATGGATGATATAAAACAAATAACATTAAGAAAAACACTTGTACATGAAAAAGCACCATAAACAAAATTGAAATTTATAAAGAGGATAAATACATACATGGGGGGATTATTCTGAAGACACAAAGAATTCATATATATCAATTAAAAAAACACTAATGTCCAGAAACAAAAGGGACAAAGAAGACAGAAAGATAATCCACAAAAGAGTAAATTCAAATGGCCAATAAATTTATGAAATTTTTTTTATTTTGTTTTGCTTTGGTTTTGCCTTTTGAGTTAAAGGAAGCAAATGAAAACAACTTTCTTAGTATTTTTCAGTGCTGGCAATGGTGTGAAAGGTCAGCCACTTGAACACTAATGTGAGAGGCTGTATAAACTGGTAAAAGCATTCTAGAAGCAAGTTGGCACAAGGACTCTCAAAAACATTCAACTTCTTTGATCCTATAATTCTAGAACTAAGACTCATCTTGAATCGACTCTATTTCAAGAAAAGTATGAATTTCCATCAAATATTTAAAAAATTCTCATTGCATATTTATCTTTAATAATGAAAAAATGTAAATAACCTATAATACAGTGCAGCAGCATGACAGAACATTATTTACCTACTCATTAAGATTTCCAGAATGGTTCTGCAGTGTTTTCTCAAGCTCATGACAAGCATGCATGTTGACAAACACTGTCCAGTGTCATTATCGGGGAATGGAATCACGACATCTGCCATTGGGGATACCAGTGGTGGCAGCATCTTCTGAGTGCTGTTCTCATCCAGCACGAGATGGTGCAGGTGATCTTCCTGCATCTAGACAAAATGTGATGAACATTTCAGAAATAAAATTCACAAAGCTTGGCAGCCAATTGTGGATAATCTGGGGAAAAGAAGACATTCATGTGATACTGGCATTTATAGATCAATGTGCTGAGCTGGTGGAGACCATAATAGCCACGGCTGTGAAAGAGGAAGGTAACTAGGTAGATATATCCATTATACAAACACTTTTAGAATTTGCAAATGAGAAAACATCTACAGAGAGATTCGAGAATTCATCTGCCCAAAAAAGGGAGGGAATTAACATTTGGGGAGTACCTACTGTGTATCCAGCATGTCTCATTTGCTGTCTTTTTTAAATCTTCATGGCATGTAATTGAGATTTTGAGATTTATGCATTCAACAAACATTTATGGCTTGCCTGCTATATGCCTGACTATATGCAAAGTGCTAGGGAGCTGGAGATAGAGATGAAAGCACAATACACTCCCCGCCCTGCTGTAGAGTTAGCTAATATGTAGGAAATCACTTAGCTAGCAGCAGAGGATGAAAAATTTAAACTTATTTTTTTGTTGGCTTTCATTTTTTGTTACTTCAAAGCCTCTCTGCTATACTAGTTTTATTTTTCTTCTTCTTTTTAAAATTAGTTTTTAGGTATGCAAGTCATATTTGCATATATTATATTTATAAAAAATGAAAGCAACATATAAGTGTAAAGTACCTTTCAGGTTTACTCATTCCCTTTACTTTCCCCTCAGGTAACCTCTGTGATTAATTTTGTATATATTTTTCAGAGCATTTAATATACATATATCTACAGAGAATATGTAACACTTATTTTACATATAAACAAGTATATACTATCTATAATATTCTGAAATTGTTTTATAATTAGCGATATATTTTGAGCTATGACAATATAAATATATTTTAATTTAGTTCATTTTTTCCAACTGCTGCATAGCAATTGTGTAAAGTAATCTATTTGCCCAATACTTCAGCAAAGAAGTGAAACATTATCAATTCAGTTGAAGGCAGCTCTATATACCACCCTGATCAAAATATTTATTCCCCACCAGAGAGGTGGGGATGGATTAACATGTCTATGCATTGCCTTTTGTTTTTACTATCCTTGAATGATGGTTTGCTGGGTACGGCATTATGAGCCGATGGTTTTCTCATACTATCATGGTGGTATCGTTTTACTAAGTTATGGTTTTCCATTAGTGTCATTAAAATGTCTGCTGTCAATGTGATTGTTGTCCTTGTGCAGCTAGACTGTTTTCTCCCCCACCTGCTTTGGACTTCTACGGCTTCACTGTGGGTTTCCTGGTTATGTGTTATGCTGACAATTCTTGGCCACTGAAATCTCAGTATTGAGATTATTTATTTATCTTGTTCAGAATTTTTGGACACTAAAAATCTCAAGATTCAAATCTTCATCAAATCCTAGAAAATTGAGAATTGTCTCTTTCACAGTTTTCTTTTCATGCCTCTGAAATCCAGTGAGATGTATATTAGATCTGTTCCTTTTATATCCACGGAAATTAATTTCTCCACATTTAAAAAATTTCTATTTCTATCTGTGTTGAATTTTGTTGAATTTTTCTAATATATATTCTTATTTATTAATTCTTTTTTCAGTTACATCTAATCTACTTTTTAACCAAGCCATACTTTTATTTTGATGTTTATATTTTTATTTCTAAAATCTTATTTTTAAACTACGTGAACTTTATAATAGTCTTTTATGCTTTCCTGTATTTTTCCATTACCTTTCTTATGTTTTGGATATTTTGGACGTCTTCCTTTTCTAGTCTGTTTCTGATCATACGCATATCTGAATTCTTTAGGGTCTAAAGTGCTGTTTTGTGGTATGTGCTTATTCTCTCTCATATTGGCTTGTTTTCTTCTGTTTTTGTCTTATCAATTTTTTATTTTTGAGGTAATTTTGGACTCATAGAAATCTTTGGGAATTCTAAAAGTCCAGGGTGTATTTCTCTAAAGAGGATTTGTGTTTTCCCTTTCCAGGTCTAATTAACCCTGGGAGCAATGAAAGTCCCTGCTGATGAGCCTGGGTTTCGTTTTGTTTGTTTGTTTGTTTTGTTTTTTGTTCCTGTTATTTATTTATTTTTTTATTTCAGGATATTATGAAGGTACAAACATTTTGGTTACATTTTATATCTTTGCCTCATCCAAGCAAGGATTAGAGGCATGCCCTTTCCCTCTACAATGCTCACCGTGTCCATTAGTTGTGAGTTTACGCCCCTACCCCAGCCTCCTAATCCCCGGAGAATATGACTACCCTGTGAGCACCATAGTGTTGATCAGTCAGTGCCGATTTGATGGCGAGTACATGTGGAGCCTCTTCTTCCGATCTTGTGATACCTCACTTCGGAGGATGGGCTCAAGCTCTATCCAGGAAAATATAAGACAGTGATCGAGTATGGGTTTCTTTTTGGGGATTAAAAATGGTCTCAAGTTAGACAGTAGTGGTGTTTGCATAACTCTGTGGACATACTGAAAACCACCAAACTGCATACTTTAAAATGGTAAATTTCACGATACGTGAATTATATCCCAATAAAGCTGTTATACAAAAATTATTCAAAAGGAGGGAGGATCAAGTCTGCTTCCTCAAGTATTTCTGCTCAGAGATGTCATTAGGAATCAAACTTTCCCCAGAGCTTACTGACCTCCGGACCTGGCCAGTGGGAATGTGTGGTGGAGCAGACTGTACTCTCTCTCTCAGTAAGTCACAAGAGTGGAGGAAGCAAGTTCAAAGCCCAGCTTCTTTGTCAGCAAGTGAAGTTTTAATTTTCCATCAGCTGTTTATCAATATCTTGTTTTATTAATGCCCAATTATACACATTTTTCTAATACTGCTTTATTTTCTCTAATATTTTATAATATGATAGATTTTAAAAGATGTATTCTCACTGCTTCTTCATGTGAATTTCTTAGATTACCATTGTGCCTAAAGTTTTTTTATGTTAGCTATTCATATTTATTTTTTATAAATTGTGTTTTTAAATACTTTACCCATGTTTTCCTATTGTATGACTTTTTCTCCTATTGAACTTTAAGATAGATTCATCAATCAATGATTTTAATCATTTTTCATATGTTACAAATATTATATTCTAAATTGCTGCTTGCTTTCAAATTTGTTTATAATGTTTTATAACTCTTATTATAGGATAATGTAAATAGTTCTTTATTACAGGAAATCACCAGTGTTTAATTAAGTAGGCAAAATTATTAAACTATTTCTTTAAATAAGAAATACAACGGAGCCATATGGGAAATAAAGGAAAATGTTAAAACGAAAAAACAAAAAACAAGTTTTTACTTTTAGAACACAGAAATAAAAATTTACATAGCCACAAATTATTCAATAAAATCCCAGATTTTTCAGCTAAAATAACATCTGCCAGGACAATTTTTAGATCCAAAGGATTAGATGGTATTTTAGTTACAGGGAAATAACATTTTTCTTCCCTTTACTTACTGATTATTATTACTTTTGTCACTAGCCATTGAAAAGACTACAATGTGAAGGCTAGGAACAATGATCTAG